CATGCAAGGAGTAAAGGTATATTAATTATAACTATAACTATTTTCAACTAATAAACACGTACTATGCTTTTTTGTTCTATATTTAAGCGGAAATAATGTAAAGCCAACTGTTCTTCAGATTTCATAYGATGCTAATTTCGATGTTAAAAATTTTTTTATTTTGTCTTTGAAGATTTTTGAAAATTATAATATTTTTAATATAAATTTATAAAATATTTTTATCTATAAAACTATATTCAGTTCAACTTACGAAACGTAGTCGGCGGTCCAGCGGTGAACAGTTTTCGACAGTCCACTGTCAAGCAACACCCGTCTGTCAACCCATTCACGTATTTTCAGTACACCTGCTGACGTGTAATATCGCCACGCCTCTGTGCATAAAACAGTTACCAATAACGTTTCTTAAGTTAAACAAAGTATAACTAAATTCAAAAATAACTTTGGTTTTCTAATTCAATTTGTTTTTAACTTAAAAGGTGATTTAAATTCACTAAATGATGGTACAGGAATTTTATTACATAAGTATAACAACTATTTTATGATTTTGTTATTGTATATTTTACTCTGTTTATAGTTTTTTTAAATTATTAAGTATATGTTAAGTATGTACCTACATATACTAGACAAAATATTACAACTATTTTATATTAAACTATATTATTGAGGACATTAAAATTAAATTTTTTAGTGCATAAATGGCAAAGATATTAGATGTAGGTACTTGTTTGAATTTGATTCAGATGTATCATCATTCATCATTATTTTTTTAATAAGTCCACTGAATAGAAAATAAACGGTGGATATTATTTGAATGAAAGAAGTTGAATTCGATACATACTTTAAATATAGCAACAAAACCTATATAAACTAATTAAGCATTAATTAAATAAATGGTTCACACTTTAGAGTTTAGGCTATCTATAGTGTACTAAAAATTTCCAAATGTCAGAGTTTAAATATGTATATGATTAAAGAGTGAATCACTATGAATATATTATAATTGCGTCTACTCCACACTTGTGTAGKAGTGAGTGCAGTGAGTCTGTATTTCTTATAGAAGTTATACTTTACATTTATCAATAACTACGATACTGCAGTATTGCCAGTACTTATATTTACTTAAATATTCTGTGTGTGGTAAAATTGAAAAATATATTATAATCGTTTAGTATTTATATTTTACCTATATATGCATAATAAATGGCTGTCTAAAACAACTTGTCTTAAGTCTTAACAACCTTGTTTCAATCACCGAAGCTAGAAGAAAAGGGAAAATGGCTGTTTTTATTATTACTTTTTTGAAAAATAAAAATCTTGCTATTCATTAAAATATATATATATATATATATATTACGATATTTTATAATTATAATAATAACGACAAGAAAATAACAGAAAATTTTAATAATGTGCATCAGTGTAATTATTTGATATTTAAGCATAAATGGTGATAAATATTATATTAAACGTGACGCCTTAAACAAGTGTGGTGTAATAAGAGTGGTATTATTCCCATGTAATATTATGTATGTTACCGATATACACGTACACATGTGAATATTATAACACATTACACGGTATCTATGTGATATCATTAATATTATATTAATAATAAATTGAAAATAACCATTTTCACTGAATGTTCGGCTGATTCCGATACTGCTTTTAATGATAATGCCCTATCATTAAACATAGTAATAAAAAACAGCGTGTAAAGGTCACGATGAATGGTTTATAAACAAAATTACAAAATAAGAAATCGATAATGATAATATTATATATTATAGAAAATGTGTTTGGTTTTGTTTTTTTAGCCGACAGATATTGGCTGTGACTCGAAATCGACTTCCCTCCCCCCACCCCCGGCACCAGCAGCGGTGGCACGCACATCAAAAGTACCCTGCACATATTATATACACACACACGCACTCCCACGCATACACAACTACAGTCACACACACGCATATACGATATTATATGCACATTGTACACCAGTGCAGTCTATCGAGTGGCCACCACTGCACCACTACTGCGCCACCACCGTAACAGCGGCGCCACGCCGAAGATGTGCCACCAGAGATGCGCGGGCGCGACTCCCGTGCCGTGCAAAAACTGCACGTGGCCGACACGAGCCTAGACAAACATGGCCAAAGACAAAAAACCGGAAAAGAATACCGGATCGAGAAAAGGAACGGTCACCTGTGAACGGACCTACGTTTCAGACAGATGTTCACAAGCCGGTAACCAAGAAATTCGACGATCACCACCAAGCAGCCCGTCTACGATACGAGTATTAGATCTTCCATGCAAACACCGAAGAAGAGGCGCGGTTCGTGATAAAAGAACCACTGTGTCTCTTCAAAGATCACGTCCGGTTCATCAGCGCGCCGATAACGCATACGTAGAAACGTCTTTCGCAGACAGTGTTGTCCCGCCTGCATCATTACAGCTACAGGGTGCTCTCACTCCGTCCTGCTCATACACGTCCAACCGTACTCCGAACGCCGTGCCATATTCCTGTGGCAGCTCCGCTTCCGCCGAAGTCAGCTGCACAGAGCCGCCGGCCATGAAGTCGTCGGCCGAACCGCCTCCCCGGCCGGGCGAAGGCATCATTGACGAGTTTCCCGCGTACGTGCCGTGGAAGGCCGAACAGCGCGTGGAAGAAGACTCGTTGGCGTGCAACGTGTGTCTCAAGTGCCGGTGCTCCACGTGCCAGAAACTGTGCAGGTACCCTGGCATGCGCGTTTGCGGCTTGATAGATGTACAATCGCGTTGCGATGAAGCTTGCGTCGAGACGACAACRGCGGTGTGCCTGCCGTGCGTCCAAAAGACGGCCAGGTGCCCGACCATCAACGCTGCCAGGGCCGAAGCTGCTGCCAGGGCCGAAGCCGCTGCTTGGGCTGAAGCTTATACCAAGGTTGAATCCTCTTCCAGGGCCGAGGTCAACGAACCTGACGTGTCCGCTACCACAGCTATAGCCAAATCCGCCATCATAGCTGTCGGCAAAGCTGCAACCACAGCCGCTACCAAAGTCGCTACCACAGCAGCCACTAATGCCACTACCAGAGCCGCCACTAAAGCCGTCACCAAAACTGCCACCGCGTCCGTCACCAAATCCGCTGCCTCAGCCGCTATAACAGCCGCTACCAAAGCCGTCACTAACGCCGCTACCAGAGCCACCACCACAGCCGCCACTAAAGCCATTACCAAAACTGCCAACAAAGCTGCCATCACAGTCGCTACTAGAGCCACCGCCACAGCCGCCACCACAGCCGCCACCGCAGCCGCTACCACAACAGCCAGCACCGCCCCTGAAACTGCCGAACTGAAAGACAGTGGCGGTCAGCTGCGGACGGCACGCGTCACATCAGGTAAGTGCCGGTTGCGCTGGCTGCTCTATTGCATATGCTGCCCGTGCCCGTACTGTCCGGTGGAGGACGTGGCCGCGTGTTCGGACGGGTGTCGCGGCAACGTCAACGTTTCCGGTTGTGAGTGCGTCGATTGGGAGGCGCTGAGGCAAAACAACCGCCTCCGGGCGAAAATCGCCGCCACAGCTGTTCTGTCGTCCAGAGAGCAACGCCGTTGCCGTGATTACCATTATTACATCAGGAGGAAGCCGGATATGGCCGGAGCCACCACGACCACTGCCATAACCACCTACGACAAGTTCGCCGCTGATGAGGAAAACACTGGCACCGCGGCCGCCGACAAGAAAAGCAAATTGCACAAATTCCTACGTTTTTAGACTTATAATATATACACGTAAAATGCGATGTATTTCTTATACGATTACTCCGGCAAGTACAGCCAGTCGTATTCGTMTATATTAATCCATGTATATTGTATGCATATATTTATATTATATAGGTACGATAAGTATTTAATCCTACATTATTATTATTATTATTATTAGCAGTAGTAGCAGTAGTATTAGTGGTAGTATAGTAGTAGTATAGTAGTAGTAGTAGACAGTAGACAGTAGTAGTAGTAGTAGTAGTAGTAGTAGTAAATTGAATGTTTAGTATTAGGAAAACGTGTTTATGTATAAAGTTAATTAAGATGGAAATAAAAGATGGCGACTCGGCGGGAAAGCAAAGCAAAGACAGTTCTCCCCCGAGTTCGGCGATAATAAGTAAAAAAAAAAA